GCTCAGCCGAACACCTCCCTCCTGGCGGTCGACTTCTTCGCCGAGGCGATCGTCTGCGACGATTTCTTCGCCGAGGCGATCGAGGAGGTCTGAAGAGATGCCGAGGGACGTCGCCGGCGCAACCCTCATGGCGGTCAACATCCCGGGCATCGTGATGGGCACCATCGTGCTCTCCTCCGGCACCTCCGTCCCCGACTCGCTCTCCTCCATCGTCGTCGCGCGCAAGGGCGAGGGCGACATGGCCGTCGCAAGTGCCATCGCAAACGTGCTCGGCGTCCAACGTGCCGGGCGCCCCCCCCCCCCCCCGTGCCTGGGGCACAAGAGCACAACACACAACGCCCCCGCCCAGACCCTCGCCATCACCAAGTTCCCGGTGCTGTGCGACTTCTCCTTCTGCATCCTCTCCGTCATCCTCCTCTTCTTCCTCTTCCTCGTCGCTCTCGACCAGAAGATCGTACGGTGTTGTCCCAGAGTCCTCCCATATAAGTGCATCGGCAAGCTCCAAAAGGCCTTCTCGTGGCCGCTCATCTCCGCCTTCAAGCTGTCGATGTCGGAGTCGATGCGCGACAAGTGCAAGTACTGGTTCACGTGGAACTTCGGCGTGTCGGTCGCCTGGATCTGCATCCTCATCACTGTAACATCACCGTACGTGGTGGGCGCCACCCTGCACTCCTCGTACCGTGCGTGCGGCTTCCGCAACGAGTTGAAGAGCTAGTTGAAGAGCTGGTTCTACCAGCCGCCGCCGTCACCGCCGCCCTCGCGCCGCCCTCGCGTCGCCGTGCCGCCCTCGCCGCAGCCGCCCTCGCGTCGCCGTCGCCGCCGCCCTCGCCGCCGCCGCCCTCGCGTCGCCGTCGCCGCCGCCCTCGCCGCCGCCGCCCTCGCCGCCGCTCGACTGCCCGTGCCTCGCCGCCTACCCGGCCGGCGTCAGCCTCGTGAGCGGCGAGGTGCATGTCGTCACGGCGGACGGCATGAGGCTCGCGTACCCTGTCACGTACGGCCTCCTCCACGGGTCGAGCACGAGCGGTGCTACGTCGACCCGGCCGCGTGCAACACCGAGTACAGCACGGCCGCGTACGTGGTGGGCGCCACCCTGCACTCCTCGTACCGTGCGTGCGGCTTCAGCAACGAGTTCGAGAGCTGGTTCTACCAGCCGCCGTCACCGCCGCCCTCGCGCCGCCCTCGCGTCGCCGTCGCCGTCGCCGCCGCCCTCGCCGTTACCGCCCTCGCGTCGCCGCCGCCCTGCCGCCGCCGCCCTCGCCGCCGCCGTCGGCCCCACCGCCCTCCGCCGCGCAACGTGCCGCCGCAGCCTTCGCCGCCCGCACCGATGCCTTCGCCGCCCTGCCGTC